TCACTGATCAAAATAACAGCAATCGCCATACTCTCCCGGCCCAAATGTCGAAGCCAATCGACGTATATATAGAGAAAGAAAAACGCACCCCGGTGTCAAATACTCAGCTTGTTTCATTGCAGAATCTAACACCTACATATTACGGACGTGATGACGATGCTGCGTCATACATTGACGAGGATGATGAAGAAGAAGAGGAAGAAGAAGAAAGAAGGGATAATGAAGGAGGAGGGGTAGACGAGGGAGAGGTAGAGGAGGGAGAGGAGGAAGCTGAGCCCTGGTCATCAAATAAAGCCAGAAGCCAAAGTTTACCGTATGGGCAGATGCCACGGAATCGCGCACGAGATGATCAATATGCACAGAACAACTGGCAGTCGGTATCATCACAAATGCAACAGTCTCAGTCCCAATATTATTCGCAATACAGGCCGCATGGAAACATGTCAATGCCACCACCTGCCCGTGCTGGACTTCCAGCGACGCCCGGGTCAATCACCACGATGCTATCCAATGCCTCGGCTAAAACTGAATACAATGGTCCAAACTATCTCCCACTATCTCCTCCTCCGTCCCATCCCAATTCACCAGCTCAGTCGGTTCGGAGTAGTGGAAGTGTCAGTTCTCAATCCTTAAATGTCTGGCCACGACGAAGCTCGGACCATCCTCAAAACTCCTTTACAGACACCATTGCTAGGTTCATGACAGAACCTACCGATGATGCGTATGCAGGCTCTGCATCAATGCAAAGAACTCAGTCGCATAATTCACCAGTATATCAACAAGTTGGTAGCCCGATACCTCATATATTACAGTCTCCCATGAAAATGAGATCGCAGAGTAATCCAAACATTCACACAATTCAAGAATCCAATCAGGAGACAGTACCAGACATTCCATTTGCACCACATTCCCAATATTCAAGAACGGGCAATGGTTATCATGTGTCATCACAGTCAACAATATCATCTTCCAACGGCAGTTCTTATCACATACCCAGTGCAATGACCACTCCCTCATCATCGACCATGTCTCTAGTCTCATCGACGATGAAGATCAAAGTTAATTTCGCAGACGATATCTTTGTTATTGTCGTTCCGTCGGACATTAAATATCGTGATTTGTGCGAGAGAGTAGAAAAGAAGATTGGTTTGAGTTCTAGGGCTGCTCATCCGTTGAAAATAAAATATCCCGATGATGAAGGTGATCATATCACAATGTCTTCGGATGAAGACGTGCGCATGGCTTTTGAGGATCGAAGTTTCCTTAACTTGTATGTCATTTGAAGTCGAGGATTCGCGTTGGTTGAACGGCGAATGGTGCAAGGTGGGGAGGAGAATAGGCGAAAAAGGTGTTGGGATGGTGACATGGGAAACAACAATAGGGTGGACGTTTAGGTCAAAAAAAAAAAAAAGGGAAAGGTGAAACGACATCAATCTGACTCCATGCATCCTAGATGGAAAATGACTTGAGTAATGATTCTATTCAGCATATGGTATGAATAATTCTAAATGTAATATTTAGACACCACTGTTTAACTTGTCACTATTTCGACGGTATATATACGGTTCGGGGGGGGGGGCCTCTGTGTTGCTATTTCAAAACCATAAACTGATGAGGCTAATTCATTGGCGGGCACCGGGATTTTAATTTCATTCCATAACTTATTGCGTCAAGTTTCTTGGTTCTCTCATAATCAATCCTTTGTTTATATTTCAATTAATATTGGTTCGTTTGGCTCGAGTTATTCCAACATATCTAGCAATCATAAATAGCTTTTTATTATTCAAAAAAACTCACCCTCATATTTATATAACACAATCTCGTACATAACACATCCTTTTTTTGTATACATATTTGTTGAATTTCAGACAAGTGTAATAAAGATGGATTTTTATTACAAAAAATAATATGCCATGACAAAAAGTTTGCTAAACTACTTGCTCAGGTCAAATAACAAACTTTGCTTTCCATAAATAGCATCAATATTTACATTTCATTTAAGCTCTGTTCAAAGGCGACTTCCCAGTATAAATAAGGGAATCATATACGAATCCAGCAGTCAATCCACCACAGACAGGGGCAACAAGGGGCACCCAGAAGTACCAATGATCAACTGTAAATACCTCGCCTCCATACCCGGCAATTGCCGTAAACAACCTCGGACCAAAATCTCTCGCACCATTCAAACTGAAGCCAGTCTCATAACCAAATGCAATACCAATGGTCGCAAGCGACAGTCCAATAAGGAACGGTGCTGCTGGTCTGACTGCATCATTCTTCTCATCCGTCACTGCCAAAATGACAAGGAGCAAGAAGAACGTACCAAGTGCCTCGGAAATGAATGCTGCCGTCGTTCCAACAAACGCTTGTGGGTATGTCGCAAAGATGCCAGCAGTGGCATTAGGTCCCGTGACGGCACGGTGTCCACCATCGAATGCATCTATTGCTGGGTAATAATTTGTAAAGATTACGAACGCGGCGATAAACGCACCGGTTGTTTGAGCAATTGTATAGAGCGGAACTTTGATCCAAGGAAATTGACGGTATACGGCCAACGTAATTGTTACTGCCGGGTTAAAGTGACCACCCTGATAAAATCGTAAAGTAGTTTCATAGTTGTTAGCAAATGCGAAAAAGGAAGAAAAAGGAAGAAAAAGGAAGAAATGCTACAATCCCAAACTACAGATATTCGTACCGAAATTCTGCCAGCAACGACGATCGCAAAGGTCAAGCCCAATCCAAACGACAACGCAAGAGTAAGCCAATTCCCATTCCCTCCTTTGCTCAGCACAGTCTGCGCCACGCCTCCAAGACCAAAAGCAACCAAGACGAACGTTCCCAATGTTTCGGCGAACAGTTCGCGAAGTCTATATTTAATACCCCTCCATCCGTGCACATTTTCAGACTCATACAAATCATCCGGCGGAGCTGTTGATAGACTAGAGCTTCCGCTGCCAATGGCACCATAGCCTTGTGAGCCGGTTGTTTTCAGCGAGCCACGTTCTTCAGCCATACTGTTGTATTTGCAATAGATGCCGAAAGGAAATGTATATATTATTGGATTATCACATATTAACATCTATTTAAAACGACATTGCTTACATTTTTTGTACTTACAGTAATGCCTCTTCGTATAATGACCTTTACCTAAGCAACCTTAATTGATAACACTTTCTTAAATACTTTCACAATCGCTCACGATTTTTTCCATCTACTACATTGTACCTCATCCTAACCAATCTCCTGCTTTCCTCAATGCATTCTATTGAAAGTTGTTTTCTATTTATTCTAATAGCAATAAAGTTTCTCTTAGATGGTGACACAGTATATAAGGTAGCGATGCCCTTGGCGTACATGACGGCTCCTAAACACATAATAGGAGATATTGTTTCTATATATGTGGTATGACAATGATTGAGAAGCTTTCAAGCGGCAGTGCGATCCGCATTGGTCAGGTTACGCCTTTACCGGTCAGTGTGCTGACAAAGAAAAGGAGTTTTCGAGTTCTTTATTTGAAAAGAAATTGATGGATTGATGGATGAATGTGCAGTATACTGTTCTATCAAGTTGTAGAGCGTGGTCATTAAAGCAGTCGGATAGCTTGGAAATGTTCCGATATATTTCGTCATATCTTGTATCAATTCATCATCGGCGATAATACCACAACAAGTAAATAGATAATCTATGGTTAATTGTGTGCTACGTATGACAATGGCGAAAGAAACCCCCATTGCAAAGAGATTATCTCTCGTATAAGCGACAATCCGCAAAAAATTCAGAGACTATCAGATTAGACTCGGTCATACTCAACGCACTCAACGTTTCTGCCAATAGAGCATCTTTGTAGATTTATGAAGATCTTCCAAGGGTTCAATAAATATTTAGAGAAGGGTTTTGCGAATCAAGCATTTGTATCAATGTGATCTCTTTTTCTGGTCATGCTGATTATCAACAATATCCTTATCATATGTTATGAAAATTTATGTCGCACGATCTGCAAAGACCATATCCTTACAGAAAATCTCTAACGTCCTTGGGGGGTGGTGGCAATATTTTAAGGGCACAACAAGGTCATCTCAAGGGCCAACCAGTTGTTCGCGAAATCGAGCAAAGAGAAGTAATTGAGAACATAGTGACACCTTGCGTGGTGGCAATACACCAAAACCCAATAGGGCGTTTTCAATTGGAATGGTGCAAAGATAAACGATGGTTTTTTGTTGGCTCATATTAAACAATCATAGCACCTATAAACTATTTTCCAAGACTGTTACTTCTATATAATAATACTATAAAATTGTTGACAAAATAGACTCAATAGAAGAATGTTAGAGAGAAAATTTTATATTTGTAGAATGCGGTACCATAATTCTCGAAGATCTATAGATAAAAAAAAAATCAACAAGCAAAACATTAACACGTACTGGAGGGATTAATAATTATATTTTCTCTTCACAATCCTCTCTGATTCTTTACGATAGTTTTGAGATGGTAAATATTAAGGCCAGTAGTCTTGCAATTACATTTCCAATTCCACAATAACTTGTTTAACAAATGAAACATAAATTTCATGAGGAAAGACCATTGCGATGATTGGTTTTTATCTCAAAAGAATAACCATCACAGAAACAGACCAGAGAGGCGACACATTGATCATATGTGAGAATCTTTCTCCGGCAACGTTCACTTTGTCCGGTTTTGTCGTTCCATATTGAGCTACGTGTCTTGAATCTTTAAGTCGACAAAGACATTTAGACTGTATACAAGAAACAGGTTTTACTAAAAATGGTTAGTCTTAACATATTGTAGGATGTCTCGCGTACCCAAGAAACAAGTTTTCAGATTATGTTATGGTGTCAATAGAGTTTAATCTTATTTCTCCTCAGCAAATATAATCAAAGACAGTATTTTCATATAAATCAATGGCTGCTCTAAATTATACAATTCTATTTAAACAATTTTGATTAAATTATTATGGGATGCTTTCATTGTTCAATTTAGTATTAATCGGCCTCGGCCTCAGCGTCGGATATAATACGCAAGAAGACTTCTTCTAGACTGTATAATAGGAGAGGAGGACAAATTGTTAGAATATATGCCAAGCAACCGTCAATAATCCAAGTAGACATTTGGATCAAATCATAAACTTACGTCGTCTGACTTAATCCCCAATCATCAATACCGTTTGATTTTTTATTCTTCTCGATATTGAAAAACAGTTTAGAAATCAGGCCAGGTTCAGGCTCGAATTCGTATGACACGTTTGTCACGAATGCATCGAGTTTCTTTGCCGAAGGCGGAAGAAGAGATTCAATATATCTAGTAAAGAGATTATATTAGGAAAAAAAAGCATGATCAGGACATTTTCGATAATAATGCAACTAACTCAACACTTTGAATTAATTACAGCAATCCTTTGCAATACTTACGTAGTAGCCTTCTCTAAATTCTTCGGCCGACATGAGAAACCTAATTTAAATCCACGTCCATACACTTCTTTCAATCTCAACTGCGGTCCAATACATCTCAACGTGCCTTTAGCCATAATACCGATCCTCTGACACAACACTTCAGCCTCTTCCATGGAATGTGTGGTCAATACAATAGTCCTTCCCTGTTTAGCTTCTTGGATGATATTCCAAATCAACCGACGCACTTCAGGGTCGAGTCCTGTAGTCGGCTCATCGAGAAACACAACAGCTGGATTACCGATAAGCGATATGGCAATGGACAGACGACGTTTCTCGCCACCACTTAATCCTTTGGACAGTCGGTTTTCGAATGGTTCTAATCGAACTTGTTGTAATGCGTATTTGATAGCTTGTTTCTCTTTACTCGCATGAACACCCTTTAATCTCGCATAGAAAAGCAAGTGCTCCCCGACAGTCAAATCGTCCCAGAGAATGTCATGCTGTGGGCATACACCCATACTACGATACACATCACTCATGTTGGTAGACGTATCAAATCCGTTCAATGTTGCATGACCAGCTGTTGGCACATATAGTCCAGTCAGAATACTAATAAGTGTGGTCTTTCCGGCTCCATTTGGACCAAGTAGACCAAATATGATATTCTTCTCCACGGCAATTGTTATGTCCTTTACTGCAAGTTTGTCATTACCGTAAACCTTGCGCATTCGTTCCATTACCAACGGCGAGTTAGGTGGGTATTTGTTCTCTAATACACGAGCTCGCTCTGCTTTCACGTCTTCGTCTTCGTGTTTAACTTCATCAGAGTCGAGATCTGGTATTGCTTCTTCCTCTAAACGCGCTGCTGCCTTTTCTGATTCAGCGTCCTTCTTCTTTCGGCCACGCCATTTCTTGTACGGTTCGGTGAAGATATAATGCCACGGTTTTGGTACTCCGTATTCACTAGGCAGCACTTGGGTCAGATAAAAGGATAATGCCATGAAGAAGAAATATTCTACAATCATAGCAATAATAGAGCCAAGTACATCATCTCCTCCACGCAGATCCGTCACTCTGTAGGCTCGCTTGGTGTGACTGACACTTCTCTGATTGATAAGGGTCAACGCTCGATAAAATGCAAATGGTGGCCAAATGTAGTACGCTGTCGGAGCTGACGTTTGGTTGAATATGGCATCGATGGCAATACTAATGATGACGCCACATAATACTATCAAAAACGAGACCACCAGAGCAGTTCGGCTTTTGCTAAAGAATACGCTAAAGAAGAATGCAAGCGCTATTTGAATATGTCCCCACAAGAAGAATAGAATAATGTATACTAATGGATTGGTGAGAGTGAAGAATTGCATACGGAACAGCAGTCCGGTGACTATGAATGCAAACGACGTGATGATGTGTAAAATATAAAAGTGAATATAGTGGGTCAAATAGTAAGCCAAAGACTTCAATCCGTTCATCTTCATCATGACTAGAATTCTTTCTTCTTTCTCCTTGACAAGAGTAATGACGAAAATAGGCAGTAAGAATGATATTCCGAACGGGTATAGAATTCCACCAATCAACGTTCCAACTTGAATTTGAACTCGCGAGTTGAATAATTGTGGCATAACTCTGTAACCATGAGTAATTTTTGTGGTTGGCAAAGATCCATTTGCTGATTTGATGAATGCATTACTCAATTGACTTTGCACAGCTGTACGTCGCAGTCCTTGGGGAGGGAATAATGCGGCAGCGGATATACGCAAATCGTTGCCTATCTGCAAGGTATATGTCCATTGTTTGACTATTGGATCTAATTTTTCGAATAGGATATTTCCCCATGGTAAATCTTGTAATATGTCGGCAATATCAATATAAAAGTTGAGCAGATCAATATCAGGAGCGTCGAATCCTTCTATAGCCGATTTATCCGCTTTTGTTACTTTCTCAAGGACGGATTGTATACGATCTGCCATGAGATTATCCATGTCATTAGCAGAGTTGTTGAGTTTTTCAAAGTACGGAACCGGTTTGAATCCAGCAATCGAATATTGGTCATTGTCGCGAGAAAAGTCAACGTAATAATTTGTATCAAACTGTCCTAATAGCCCTGTTCCTTGCGTTTTAAGAAAATCATCCGTATAAAACTTGGATGGATCGCTGACGGCAGGTAGCGCTGCTTTTGTGCCCGAATTGGCGTCTCCAATGTCAGTAACAAAAAAGTATGGATACGTTTGGTATTTTGCTAGGTAAAATGGCTTCATTAGTTGACTCAGATTAAACCATCCTCCAACTGGATCGGGTAAGTAAGTGTTTGCTTTGCGCAAATTTTCGTTTGCTGCCGCTGGATTGGGTTGATATGGAGCCTGGACTGGATAGTCACGTTCGAACCAGTATACACATAGTTGAGGGGCGCCGGGCGTTGCAAAGGCATCGTCACCTGGAGGAGGGAGGTAGTAATTTGTCAAGGCAACTTCGCTCACACCGCTGCGAACATTGGGTAATGTGGATGCAGGGACCAATGGAAGGTCGCCTTTGGGGTCGATCGGTTCTCCGTTCACGTCGAATGCGCTCGAATTTGAGCACCATAAGAATTCTGTATTAGAATTAGACGAATACCAAAAAAGAATTAGGAATCACATGTTTCCAATGATTTGTGGAACGTTGAAAATAGACCCTCGATTGTTGACGGAAACTCCGCAATAGAGCCGAACTATTCTTGTTTTGTATTACTACTGCGACAAACAAGCGATTCATTACATTACATTCAATTACATACCTTCAGCGGCAGTGGATTTTGCAATCAAATTTGTAATCACAATCCCCATAATACCAGCGATGGCGACCATTAACACTGGGCATAGCATAATACAACAGATGTTGACGAACCACTGTCGTTTTTGGTATGATATCGTTTTGCGTGCCTTTAAATCGAGTCGTCGGAGTTGTAAGTTAACGAGATAGGAATACGAAGAGATAAGTAAGCAATGTTAAATACGAGCGAGAATGCAGTGAGTGAATCCATGTATACCCCATATCTGTGTATGTGAAATATCATTCTCTCGGTTGTTGAAAGTGTAAGGATATACTTACAAGAGCACGGAATTGGTAGCTCTTATTGCCGCCATCAAATAGTTCATTCAACTCCTCGGCAGCTGGCACTTTCTCACCGATATCTAGTGTATAATCACCGACACCTGTAGATGCAGAGAAGCATACATAAGACTTTGTAGACATAAAATTTGAAGAGTAGGGATCCATCTATTGTGTAGATCTAACACTAGTTCTTACCAGTTCCTCGCTGCGTTGTTATATCTACAGTCGTACTATCAGATATCTCTTCCAGCACTTCAGATATGCCAGATTGACTGGCTGTTGGTTGAGTATCTGACATTACTTATTTTAACTATGTTCGAATGGGAGACTTTTTGTTATATGTGTATAATATGTATTATATGTAGCCGTCACCCACCCAGGACGATAGAATGATTTGCTACGTTAGTGCTGCTTTAGCAACGTGAAACGGAATGAGACGATGACTGAGTGCAGTGAGAGATAAGGTTAGTGTGCAGTATATATAACAATAAGCCATGTGCTGTCTGATCGACGATGTATGCTACGGCATTTGTTTTTTTAATCGGTCAGTTGTCGAATTCTGCTGACTTGGCCAAGACAAATTATTGGCGTTTCATCAGAATGACGGAATAATGGAACAGTGCAATATAATACTGTGGACATTAATATAATGTTATATTGTGTACCCATAACAGTATTAGCACTACTATTACTATATTTATGCATGACCCTTAATTTGTTATTGGCTAGGTCACGATACGCAGCATCCGCCAACATTGCCATAACCATAGTTAAAATAAATATACCGGCCCGAGCTCCGTCGAAATCCCGGCATTTGCTAATAATCAAACCAAATTAAGCATGTGTAACATGTCGGATCGGCCGGTGTAGAATAAAACAAAATCTTGACGTCACTTACAAGTACTTCTGAATAAGGAGCCAATTGCTACCATTGCTACCGACAAGAAACAATAGTGCGTTTGTCATCCTATATAGATTATTGCATGCAAATTAGTTGCTCCTTGAAACATGCGAAATTCTCTAATACTATAGCAACTTTGTATATACATTCCAGTAATTCTACCATAAATGTCTCGATAAATGAGAGATTCTGACCAATCTACTAGCAGCCATGTATTAAGTTTACGTTTTGTCACACAAAGCCATAGTTTGTTCGGACCAAAGGTGTGTATCACGGTAATTTGAAGAGGTATTTCTGGTGTGGTGGTTGAAAGCTTTTCTGTTGAGCTATGAAAAAAAGT